TGTGTTGTGATTGTCGTTATCTGTTGGACTCTTTGTGTTGAGATTGTCGTTATCTGTGGGACTGTTTGTGTTTAGGTAATGTCGTTATCTGCTGGACTCTTTGTGTTGTGATTGTCATTATCTGCTGGACACTTTGTGTTGTGATTGTCGTTATCTGTTGGACTCTTTGTGTTGAGATTGTCGTTATCTATTGGACTCTTTATGTTTAGGTAATGTCGTTATTTGCTGGACTCTTTGTGTTGTGATTGTCGTTATCTGCTGGACACTTTGTGTTGAGATTGTCGTTATCTGTTGGAATCTTTGTGTTGAGATTGTCGTTATCTGTCGGACTCTTTGTGTTTAGGTAATGTTGTTATCTGCTGAACTCTTTGTGTTGTGATTGTCGTTATCTGCTGGACTTTGTGTTGAGATTGTCGTTATCTGCTGGACTCTTTGTGTTGAGATTGTCATTATCTGCTGGTCTCTTTGTGTTGAAATTGTCGTTATCTGTTGGACTTTTTGTGTTGAGATTGTCGTTATCTGTCGGACTCTTTGTGTTGAGATTGTCGTTATCTGTCGGACTCTTTGTGTTGAGATTGTCGTTATCCGTTGGACTCTTAATTTGTGTTGAGATGGTCGTTAATGCTAGACTCTTTGTGTTGAGATTGTTCTTAACTGCAGGACTTTTTGTGTTGAGATTGTCGTTATCTGCACGTCTTTTTGTGTTTAGGTAATGTCGATATCTTCTGTACTCTTTGTATTAAACTTGTCCCTATCTGCTGGACTCTTTGTGTTGAGATTGTCGTTATCTGTTGGACTCTTTGTGTTGAGATTGTCGTTATCTGTTGGACTCTTTGTGTTGAGATTGTCGTTATCTGTTGGACTCTTTGTGTTAAGGTAATGTTGTTATCTGCTGGACTCTTTGTGTTGAGATTGTCGTTATCTGCTGGACTCTTTGTGTTGTGATTGTCGTTATCTGTTGGACTCTTTGGGTTGAGATTGTCATTATCTGCTGGTCTCTTTGTGTTTATTGCGGCTACCAAACAGCCAGAAGGACTCTTTGTGTTTGTTGCGAATTAAACTTATGGCTCTTTGTGTTAAATCAAATAAGCAGTAACTTATATTTAATTCCAATTAAACTGTCTGTGTGAATAGAGCAGGGTAAGTTTGATCATGTCTCAATGCTCATTAGAATCATTTTTAGGTATGGTGATTAGATGATTCGGAGTGAAAAAGAGAATTTTGAAGATTGGATTAAATTTGATTCGTAGATCTCAACCCTCAGGACTGAATAGGGACTATGAAATTAACAATTTACATGCAAAGCCTCGTCCTCGACCACGGCTTATGTCCCCTCGGTGGAATTTCACTAGCACTTGTTGTAATAAATGATTCCAAATCATTATGTCATAATTGTCCACCGCTTGAAAAGTTGAATATAAATATTGATACAAACACTACATGATATTAATTATTTCTGTCTGTTCAATACCCATACTTGTAGTCCACATTGGAATCAGAGCAAATTGGAAGCTTTTGTAAAAAATTTGGCATAGCAACTTCGTATGGACTACAAAAAAATCCCATTGATTTTGAGGTCAAAAGGTCAAAAATCAAGGTCATAAAGAGCAATATATGATAAGTGTCTGAAATGGCCCCCGAAAATGAATATCTTACTTTTGATTTATATATAGCTTTACTTTGCACAGCTATACGTGCAACCCTTACTGTTAATATTCAATTTGATCAAAATATCGTTAATATAGAAATATGACATCATAAAGTTCATGTTTTCCCGCAATTTTTTTTGCATATTTTGTATAAAACTGCTTATTTTCAAGATTTACAGTTTTTTTAATAAAATAACTTAGATAGCGCAGTTTGAAGAATAATTAATTTTGCAAAAATTATCTATGATTATTATATTTCTATTATTATAACTCAGCTGTTACTTATTTCATGAATTTTCCATGGAAAATAATTAATACATTAAGTACCCACATGTATGTAGAACGATGCTAAAATATTAACTTCAAAAAGGGCAATGTACGAATGTTAGATATATACGCAGGCATCAATTTGATGTGCATATAAATGTGAAAATATATGTAAATATATTAATATAATCTTTTCTACAAAATAAATATCAAAAAAATTATTTCTGTATGTCATTCTAAAATACATGACTTTTAGAATTATGGGCCAAATATTGTTAATATATATCTTTAGAGCAAATTGATGGTGTGGTTTTAAATTTTAGAAGAGACACTGTATAAAATAGCGCTATTATTAGAGAAGGAAAACCCTCCTTCAGCTTCTAAACATATGTTTAAAAAAATGTTTTTTACATAATAACTCCCTGTTTTCTAAGAAAGACCGACATATTGAGTTTTCAGTATATTTTAATTAATATTTAAATTTTATTGTTACACAAGAAAATCAGTCTTAAAACCAACATCAAACAGTCATTAAACAATAGCATTTTAGTATAAACTTGTGCCGACAGTAGTATTTTAAATTGGCAGGGAATATGTTTCACATTCAATTTAAAATTTGTCTTGTGAATATATTGGAATTATTTTTTTTCTGCAGGAATGCAAAAAATCAGGTTTGAAATGAAGGGAAAAATATTAAAATTTCTTTATACTAAACTCCCTTTGACCTCACTCACTCCTCTGAAACGCGATTTCCACACCTCCCTGTGTCGAATTATTTTATCAGTATTCCTGTATTATATGTCGCTATTTTTAGCATAAAAGGCAATGATTACTGTCAAATGGACTTATAAAACAGGTTCTTTATTGCGGACTTTATATTTTTATTTGAACTGTTTAATAAAGGCTATCTCTCTGTTTAAAACTCTCTCTCTCTCTCTCTCTCGTAGGATTTCATTTGTCATACCGGCGTACGCCATGCGCCGCTTGACCTTTCGTAACCCGGCTTGTTACTTCATTTGACCGGGGAAGGTTCAAAGCGGCGTACGCCGAATGCGCCTATAATTACCGGCGAGTATGTCTCTCGCTTCACATGTGAGAGAGAAAACAATTGAAAATCCAGATACTTTTTGATCCCATCTTTATTTTTTTTTTTGAGCAATATTTATTATTAACTAAATGATAGTATTCAGCATGAAAAATAAAAAAAAAAATTGAATTTGGCTTGTACAAACATAATGTAAAAAATCATAAAACTTATTAATTGATTATCATTTAGTATTTTCATTTTTAAAAAAATCTTCTTATACATAAAATAAAGAATAAGACAATCAAACTGGCCCTCTTTATATCCATAAAAATTGACAACACATTACTTATTTATTTGCTTAAGTACACATGTATACAAATAATAATTCTACAATGTATATTCAGCCGGGGGATACATGAACAAGTCCCCTAGAATAATCGTCATAAAAGAACTGCACATTGGTTTACTTTTTCAGTAAAATTTAAATAACACAAATTCTCTGAATTAGCTTGTTACATCTTATCGTGAATATAGAACTAAATATTGATACAAACACTACATGATATTATTTGCTTACGTTCAATAATTCATACAAGTACTAGTTACATTGGAATCGGGAGCAAATTGGAAGGAGAGGAGAAAAAAAAATTCAAAATTAGCCATTGTCTAAACCTGAAAATCCTATTTCTTGAGGGAGGGGATAAACAAATTTTCCCAAAACACTTTTTGTACCACTTACTCATCTTTAACTACACTGAAACGTGCCTGTTGAAAGATTAGGTAGGAAGGCAAAACCTACGCCCCAATCTTCAATGCGTATGTACACGTACTACATGTATTATGTCAATCCCCTGCTAATCCCCCTCCCTCTGCTTCCCACGCCTATGAGTAATGCAGACGGAACAATAGAAAACTGACTAAGTCAGACAAGGACTCGCAAAGAACTGTTCAAGGTACTAGAAAATGTTCATTTAGGATTTAAACATTTATACAAAGAAAACGATTTTCCCTTTTAAATCAAAATACATTCTTTGTTTCCAGTCAGTAAAACAGAGGGCTTCTTTATAACTGTACGGAGATTCAAGAAATTGTGATGACCTCCGCCTTTCAAAACATATTCGTTCTTCATAAATAAATACTTTAAATTCATGTTAGGAAATTCATATAGCATAAAGATATAGATACGATGTTGACAATTCATAGAATTAAAAAAAAAATGTTTTGAGGGTTTATTTTGTCGCATTTTTTGCATATCTTAAATTGCATGCATATCTTAAATTGCATGAAGTCATTTGTCGGTAAAACTTAGAAAAAAACTGACCTGTAAATACCAGGTACACTTATTTAGTTTATGTTATAATAAACTGATACGTATTTCATGTATTTCTTCTACAAAATTTGAAGAGAAAATATTTCAAAGAAATTCAGGGACACAAAGCTGGAGATAAAAATAGAAAGGGGTTTAATGGCATATAATTATAGTTAATCCCACCCCTTAATTTTAATCTGCTTGAAATTAAACCTCTCTGCACAGGTTGATATAGATAGCTGAGACATTTAAATCACGTGACCTGGTAACCAGGTGAATGTTTAGAATAAAGAGAAGGAAGTAAATTGTAGTGTACGGGATTATCGAGAAGCCATATTGGATTTAGAGGTGAGAAAAGATCTTAGTAAAAAAAGTTTAACATATTGCAAGACATTTCAAGATGTCATTAATGATCTCAATTCTAGAACATGTATTATACATTAGATGAAATGCATGAGAGAGAGACACTTTAGATCATAGAATACAAATTGCTTTGACTGTTATAAAGTGTTAACATTTTCTTCCTAATTCATTTCATCAAACATTAGAAAAGTTAAATCAGCATTTTAAAACTACAAGCAGATCCTTTCTGTTATTTCTAAACCGACTCTGTCTTACAATTTCACTTACAAAACAAAACCCTTACATCGATTTGTTTATAATTGCGTAAACTGTCTGTTGTTAGTGACCCATGTCCAAATTTACTTTATACAGAGTCATCTGATCAATTTTTACCAAAACCCCAGTAATGGACCCGCTGGACAGAGCTCAAGTACTCCTCCTATGTGACCTGTGTAAAAAAGCAGCATTACAGAGTCATTGTGAACTTTGTCACATTAACCTGTGTAAGGCCTGTGTAGGGGAGCATCTCTCTGATTCATGTAAAAGACATAATGTTGTACCATACAAACACAGAACTTTTGCTCCTTACTACCCAAAATGTCCAAATCACACCCAGAAACATTGTGAACTTTACTGTGAAGAATGTGACATTCCTGTCTGTTCTACCTGCATCTCCTCTGGTAAACACAAAGGACACGATTTATCAGATGCTCTACAAAACCTCAGCTTTAAAAAGAAGCATTTAAGACTGGATTTAAAATTACAAGGAAAAGTCATATTCTCCACTTATAAAAAAATTGCATCTAATATCAAGGCTGAAAAGGCAGACCTAGAAAAACATTGTGAGAAACTGACAACAGATGTTTCCAAACAAGGTGAAGTATGGCATAGGGAAATAGACATCGTTGTTAATAAAAGAAAATCTGATATTGCTGAGATAAAAACTAAGGGGCTGAATGCTCTAGATGAGAAGGAAAATGAAATAAATCAAAAGATTTCTGAGCTTGAAGAGAACATTACTAACCTAAAGGAAATACTGGACTCCGATGACGTATCACTGATATCCACATACAATTCCAGGAATGCTGAATTTAGAAATTTACCTCCTAAAGTCAATGTTTCACTTCCAAGATTTTCATCTTATCAGATCAACACAGAACAGCTCCATCAAATGTTTGGTTCTCTCTCAGCATTATCCATTACAACAGATGAACATGGCTACACAATGAAGACAGCAGAAGCTGTATCCTGTCCTCCAGTCAAACCACTGCTTGATAAACCAGAGCTTATCGTCACCATAGACACTGGGTATAGAGCACTATACAGTGTTACCTGTCTCAGTGATGAAGAAATCTGGACATGTGGAGAAGACAAAATTATGAAACTCTACAGCCTCCAAGGCAATCTACTGAAATCAATCCAAACCAAGTCTGGGAATAAACCACGTGACATAGCAGTGACAAGGAGTGGAGATCTAGTTTATACAGACAGTGATACACAAACTGTAAACATAGTGAAGAATAAACAGATACAGGAAGTGATCAGACTTCGGGGGTGGGAGCCTGGCTGTATCTGTAGTACCTCTTCTGGTGACCTCCTGATAACCATGTACAGTGATGATGAGAAACATTCAAAGGTTGTTCGTTACTTTGGCTCTGCAGAAAAACAATCCATTCAGTTTGATAGTAAAGGTTATCCTTTGTATTCACCTAGTTTCTTCAGATCATACATCAGTGAAAACAGGAACCTGGATATCTGTGTGGCTGACTGGGGAGCCGGTGCAGTAGTGGTGGTTAATCAGGCAGGAAAACTCCGATTTAGATACACTGGTCATCCCTCTTCTAACAAGAGATCATTCAGTCCATACGGCATCACAACAGACAGTCAGTGTCACATCCTGACAGCAGACTGTTACAACGACTATATCCACATCCTTGATCAGGACGGACAGTTCCTCCGTTATATTGATAGCTGTGATCTAAAACGTATATGGTCTTTATGTGTAGACACCACAGTGGTAAATTGAAGAAAATCAAATACATGTGATCAATGTGTTTTAAATAAATAACGACAAGTTTGGGATAGAATATTTTTCCAGTAGCAAAAATCACAAGATGTAATTTAATTCACCTTCAAGTGTTGATGTGTGTGTGTGTGAAAATATTTTCAATATTATCAATAAGGTATAATATATATATAAATAAAAAATTCAATTATTAATATTTTACAATCGTTTCAGAATTCTACCCAAGATTGAAATCAATAATAACATTACATTGGCAGAAAACTTCAATATTTCAAAATGCCCAAATGAATACCATGTATATTTGCAAGCATGAAGAAAGAAGTACATGTGTAATATGATATGTACATTTTTTTTCAAATTGATCCTGTTTCCTGCACTGCACACTGAAGGGATGTGATTATACTGTACTTTTGATGTAGTTAGAATAAAATACCCTTAGATCTAAAATAAATGCACATCCTTTTTTAATCTAAGTTATATGTAATTTATTAAGAATCTTAATTGACCAAGATAAATTAACGAATTTATTTCCATGTTTCTTCATGGATTCATTAAGACTCATAGGGCCCAAGATAACAAGGTTTGCATGTATAAGTAACCCAAAACAAAGATGAGAGATCTGATTCAGGAAACTTTTTATTGTGGATTTTTTCATATTAATTCGAAAACATCTTTAAATTACATGGTCAAATGATTTCAACAGATAATAATGCATCAAGTTCCATGGGATATCAGCTCAATAAGTCCATTGTCAGTAGAACGTACTAAATATTAAAAGGTCATATCAAATTTTATACACAACATTGATTATTTCAGTATATGTAGCCACAGATATCTGTTTTTAAAACTTATCAGCTTGATCCCCGTGTTGAGCCTCAATAGTCTTCTTACTCTCCTTATGAGGGCCTCCACAAAACTGTAGAGGATCCTGGAATTACAGTATTCCTAAACAAACAAGCAAATAATGGATTAATGGTTTATATAAATCCAAAGACATTTTTCATAGGTGATGAATTAAGCATTCACAATGCTCGTTTTACTACTTCAAACATCAGTGCATTAGCCAATCAAAATGTGTTTTACAACAATCACATTGGAATTTAATTCCTATACATATATATCCCTCTGTAAAACTTTGGTCGTCTATTTGATCGTCTGTTGAACCTTAGGGCTCATGATTTGAACAAACTTGAATTTACACCACCTGAGAATGCTTTAATTTCACACAAATATGACCAATCACTGCTTTGCTGTTCTTAAAAAACATTTTTAAAGATTTTCCTAAAAAAATCATTGTAAAACTTTGATTGTCCATTCATGATTGTGGCCCCACTCTACCCCCCCCCCCCTTCCCCCAAGGGTTTCATGATTTGAAGAATCTTGAATCTACACTAACTGACAATGATTCCAATCATATGAGCTTAATCTTTCATGTCCTAGTGGTTCGATCTTGAGAACCATTTTTTTTAAATGATGCCAATTTTTTTTCATTAATTTGTAATTATCTCCCCTTGAAAGAGGGTGTGGCCCTTCATTTGTGCAAACTTGAATCTTCTTTACCTAAGGATGCTCATAATGGCAAGTTTGGTTGAATTTGGTCTGTGGTTTTTGAGAAGAAGATGAAAATTAATGAGCATACATACATGTACATACTTTAAACATTTTTTAACTAAACTTTAGAAAAACAATACTACCATAAAAATGACATAATGAACAAAATCTGCTTCCACAAGTACAAAATTTAACATAAAGATAATAGTATTTACCTCTTGAGTGAGCGTGAGTCAGTTAACCGCTGAAGTTAGAGCTAATTCACGTAGAGCTTTGAGACTTAAACTGGGCTGTCTGTCTCGTAGAATTCTGTGGAAAACTTCTCCGTGAGATAAGATAAATTGCATCACCTATAACAGCATGGAATGGTTTACAATACAGTAAAATGTCTGTGGGGGTCTGATATTTCTGGATTCCGTGGGTCAGTCTTACCCATAAAATTACATTCCCATGACAATATCTTTTTAAATGTATCAATTACTCGATTCTAATCTATTTTTAAGTGTGCTATGAAATTATGTCTACAAGAACGTGTAAATTGATACTGATACCCATAAGTCAAAGCATGACAAATTCTACTTGATATGCAGACTTTCTAGGGAACTTGGATTTTGGGGGGTAAAATCCGTGTTAATGAGATATTTACACTTACCTGCCTCCTTAACTATTTGCAATTTCTCTCTAGTTCCCCATACAATGCGTCAATATATTTTTTTAGAGTAACTACGGTATCACCTCCAGTTATCCCCCTTAATTCCCCGTATTCTTAAATCCAATTCTTTAGAGAAAGAGAATTTCTTATTCATTTTATATTTGAAATAAGAGGACATCTAAAATAGTTTTAAAATAATGAAATATTTAAAAAATCATATAATTTAAAAATTTAATTAAAAAAAAAATTATTTAATATTTTATATGAACAATTTAATAATTATGAGAAGAAAACAATTAAATATTTTATATTATCCTAATAAGAATTATATACTATTTATTCAGCATATAGCTAAAACAGAATATAGTCTACCTGTAATTAATTTCTTTTGTTCTCCACCTGCACCCCATTCCCACATAGCCAACACAGATTTATCTGTGTTTTACCTGTATTTTTCAAAATGTTGGCTAAGTGGGAAGACACCCTCTCCTTGATGAGTTTAAAATTGCTGCCTTGGCAAAAATGGACTGATGATCTGGAACATCTTTCAGATAAAATAATGTAAAGGTAGATTCAGATGCCCAGTGTGCTGCCCGTAAAATCTCCTCTGCAGATACACCACAGAACAAAGCCCAGGAAGTTGACAAACGTCTAGTGTCATGTGCTCTAACTAGATTCAATGTTGCTGCTTCTGCATTATCATAAGCAAAACGAACCATGCTAACTATCCATCTTACAATAGTGTCTTTTGATGCTTCCTTGTGGTTATTCTGCTGATATGTCACAAATAACCTATTTGACTTCCGAATAGTTTTCGTTCTATTGATATAAATCTTCAATGCACGACAAGGACACAATTTTAAATCCTCTGAATCTGTGGCGAATGAATCAAATGCAGGAATATAAATAGGGTCCCATGGTCTATTTATGGTTTGAGTCTTTGCCAGGAATTCCATATTTGGTAACTTTTTTATTCCTTTCCTTTCTATTCTAAAGTGACCATCATCTAAAGTGAGGCTATGGATCTCGCTCAATCTTGAAGCTGAAGCTATGGCTACCAGAAAAACAATTTTAAGAGTCAAAAACTTTAGATCTGCTGACTCTAGTGGTTCAAAAGGATGTTTTGTCAGAGTTAACAAAACCAGTGGTAAATTCCAGTTCGGTGTCAACTGACGTACAAATGGGTGTTTATTAAATAAACCTTTCAACAATGAAGAAAGTTCTGTACTTGTACCAATACTGCTCCCATTCTGATGAACTATTGCTATTGCTGACTTGTATCCAGCTATAGTCTGTGGTTTACACTTTCTCACATAGAAGAGATATAAAAAAAACTGTGCTAACTCTGGTATAGATGTTGTAATGGGATTAAAACCCTGTTCTTTACACCAACTGTTATATATTCTGAGTCTTGCATCATAAACTGTTTGTGTAGAAGTCTTTCTGGCATTTGCCATAATTTCTGCAATTTCTTCAAAAAATCCTCTTGACTTGTGTTGCAATTTGACAGTTTCCATGCTACAAGATTGAGAGTTTCTAGGTTTTGATGGAAAATCTGATTGCGATTTTGGGAGAGAAGAACTGGCCGCAGTGGTAATTTGACTGGTACATCGATCAGAAGATCTATTATCTGAGGATACCACGACTGTCTGTGCCACATTGGAGCAATGAGAAGTACAACACTTTGCTCTTCCCGTATCTTCTGTAAGACTTTGGGCACAAGAATATGTGGTGGGAATGCATAAGCATAAATCCCTTCCCAGTTCATTGCTAAGGCATCTACTTGAAAAGCATTGATGTCCGGAGATGGGGAGCAATAAACTGGCAACTTCTTGTTTTGTGCAGTAGCAAACAAGTCTATACATGGAGTTTCTAATTGTTGGAACAATAAATTTACAACAGTTTTGTTGAGTGACCATTCTGTCATTCGAACTTTTTTCCCCCGGGAAAGTGCATCTGCAAGAAAATTCTTCTTCCCTGGAATGTGAACAGCTGGTATTGTAATTTTGTTCTCCATGCACCACTGGAACAACTCCCAAGTTAGATAACACAGTTCTGGTGAGTGTGTCCCCCCCCCCCCTTGTTTGTTGATATAGCTTATCACTGTTGTGTTGTCTGACCGTATAAGGATCACTTTTCCCTTTATCAAAAACAGAGCTTCTTGAGGAGCCAACTGTACTGCCTTTAGCTCCAGCCAATTTATATGCTTCTGTTGATATTGCTGCGGCCAGACCCCTGACGTCTCCCAGTTCTCCAGGTGTGCTCCCCAACCCTGTTCTGAGGCATCTGTAATCAATGTCAGTTGAATTGGCGGATCCTGTAAAGGCATTCCTTTGAAAAAGTTTTCCCAATTCATCCACCACTGAAGGTGCTGAATTAGGATTGGCCGGATCACTATCACATGAGTAAGAGGGTGAATCTTTGGTCTCCACATTGCCAACAGGTATAACTGTATGGGACGCATGTGTAACCTTCCCATCGGAACCAGATAAATGCATGAAGTCATCAGTCCTTACAATTTGAGTATAACTACTGCTTGAGTGTGTTGACTTATTGATAAAGTCTGCACTATGTCTTAAATACTCTGAAACCTGGCCTCTGTTGGTGTCGCAATGTCCTCTACCAGATTGAAATTTGCTCCCAGGTACTCTATATGTTGGGATGGCACTAGGGACGACTTCTCCCAATTCACTAATAATCCCAGCTCCTGAACTAGATGTAATATATAGTCTCTCTGTTGAAGAAGAGTTCTCTTGTCTGGATTGATCATCAACCAATCGTCTAGATACATCAATAT